GTTACCGTAATTGTACCCCACTTTAATGACATAATTGTCCTGTTTTGGAAAATTTAATACACTGACACACTATTTACGCAAAACCTACAGCGACATGTCCATTTATGTCATTGACTTTCCAGAACAATGTGTGCTATCCGAGACAATAACAAATCGTTTAGAGAAAAAAATTCTGTGAAATGTTCATTGTACAAACAGCAATTAACTCTTTATTTAAAGACAACGATTGTACATAACTGCGATAATAATAACCGTCAACATATCGCGTTTTATAAAAATTGATATACTGTATACATTTCATATGGCTAAACTGAAAAATGCGGAAGCCATGAAGATATAGCAAGCAAAATATTATAGTCATCTTCAAGCTTATTATTATGAGCAATGATAACTGAACATAGAGCAAACTAACGATAAGAGTCTCCGTGACTTATGAACACATTACGAAAAAACAACAGAATTTTACAAATAAATGTGTACTGAAACAAGTCTGATACATCAAAGGAAATATTTTCATTCATATTGTTAAATGTGAATGAACAACCCTTAGACCCGCTGACAAATTATTTCATATAATAATCCTACTTTAAAAGAATCTTAGAACTTAGATACGAACAATTATTGTGCAACAGAAACAACATCCCCTGGAAAATAATAAATTCGTATTGGAGGGTTTCGCACCCTGCAAATAACCCTTAGACCTTTTGAGAAATTATCTCATAGGCATAGCCTTATCTTAAATCTCTCGTAGAGTTAGTATACCAAATTTACTGTGGGACAAAAACAATTTCCCCTAGAAAATAATAAATAAGTATTGGATGGTTTCACACCCTGCAAATAACCGTCAGACCCTCTGACAAATAATGTCATTGGCATAGTCTTATCTTAAATTCCTCGTAAAGTTAGTATAGCAAAAATTATTGTAGGAGAAAAACAACTTCCCCTGGAAAATAATAAATTAGCATTGGAGGGTTTCCAACCTTGCAAATAACCGTCCAGATCCCCCGATAAATTACCTCTTAGGCATAGTCTTATCTTAAATCACTTGTAGAGTTAGTATACCAAAAAATGTAGTAGTACAAAAACAATTTCCCCTGGAAAATAATAATTAAAGAAGTATTTAGCACCCCATAACTAACCTTTAGACCCGCTGACGAATTATTTCACGGACCTTAATTTAGTCTTAATTTAAATTACTGTTAGAGCTTAGATACAAAAAAATTACTGTGAGACAAAAACAACTTCCCCTGGAAAATAATAAATTAGGATTGAAGGGCTGGGCTACTTAGATGTTATTAAATGTGATTTATCCAACAACTTATATCTGGCACTTTTCACTTTTACATTTTGTGTTAGACTCTCCATTGTCACTGGCTTATATCTATTGTAGACGACCTACATTCTTTCCACGTATTCATTAGGGTTTTCTTACACCTGTCGCAGCTATTACAAATTTTAAACAGCTCAACTCATAAACGTATATCACCGAGTAATGTGCATTAAGTACTATAAAAATTCAATAATTCTTCAGACAACTTCCTCGCTTCTCAACAAACTTGTGAAAACTTTTAAATCAGCAACACAAGTATTAAACTAATCGCAAGCAATTTACGACGCTCTAAGAAAACTCTGGGAATGTTTCACAGTTTCCTTAATAAGGAATAAGGAATTCGACTTTTTAATGAAGTGCATTCTTTAATTTCGTTTCACGACAAACCTACACAAAATAAGCACATGCTTGCATTACATTGAAAATCAGCTTTGCCTTTACCGTAAGTAACTAAAATCTTTTAGTTTTAGAGCGATTTTAAGTAAAGGGTAAAAGTCTAACTAGTAAATCTGCTCGATTTTCTTGTTTCTATGGTTTCAAAACGTTATTCGAGAACCTTATTATAACAGCTTAGTTGGTAAATGTATTATTGATCCCTTCTCAAGACAGCCAACAGGTTTGGCGATAGACTGGCAAGCATCTTACTCAACTCTGAATTAGGGTGTCTATGGAAACTTTAACAATTAAGAACTTGATAAGATGCAAGTAGAAACCTTATTTAAATCAAATTCAAGAATTCTTTTGAAAGCGTATGATGTATATACTCTAAATTATTATGCCAATAATTTTTTTTTGGAAGTTTCTCAACTTTACACTACTGACCTACGCCCATGACCTAAATTAATCTACCGTTTCGTCACGCCAGTTATTTAAATATTTAATGAAATTAATGCATTCAAGAACTGTCACCTAAATTCTTTAAAAGCGCCTAAAAGTCATTCAGTTTAGCGTCACATTCACTATACCCATCAAAATCAGCGGCCACAATCTCCACTACCTAATTGACTTGTCTAGCACATCGGCATACGTGCTGCAACACCAGTGGTAAGTATCTATTTGGCATCATTACTAATTATATACACTCATTATGAATTTAAATTAACTTATACCTACTAAATGCAGAGTAAACATTGAAATAATTCGGTCAACATACAAACGAAGAACAAGCGCAATAAAGCGCACATGATGATATTATTTCAAACGCGGGAATTTTAACCGTTTCAAGAAGCATTCGGAAATGTGAAAAATAGGCACGCGGCGAGGAAATGGCATCAATAAATATCATATCATTCTGGCGAAAATACCTCAGATACGTATTTCGATCTTGCTTCTGCAAATCGACCGCACGATATTACCTACAATAATAAGGCAAAGAACCGTGAAAATATTCTACTAAAATTTATAGATTGGAATTCTCGATTGTTACCGGTAAGTATAACGGAAACCACCGCAATTTATCCTCGACGTAACAGAAGGACAGATGATGATGTTTGCTTCCTGTCAGTAACTCCCATTAAAATTTTCAAATATATTAACAAAGTGGGACTTCTCCCACTACATTTTTCATAGGGGCTAAACGAAAAGATTTTCTTGTTATTTTAGCATTCCCTAAACAAAAGGTTATGTGGTTACTCATGAATAAAATAAAATCAACTGTATATTCATTAGCATGAGATTCTCTTTGGTTCCCTATTGAATAACATGAGTTTGAAAAAGAATTTCTGTTCGAATAAAATAATTCGAAGTGGTCTGTATTCTGTCGAAACTGCCGGACGCGGATCGCGATTTCGATCTTTTTGGATCTCATCAGCGCGTCGCAGGCAGTTCCGACAGAACACAGACCAACTTGTACCTGCTGTCTTAACAGCGCGTTTTAGAAAACACCACAAATGGCGCGGTAAACGCCATCTGTAGTACGATGCTACATTTTAGGATTACGTATGCTCGGTATGTAGTTATGCATAGTATTTTATGGTGTTCCAATATCATTTCCCCGAAGGGGGCGGGGGTGGAGAGGGAGAGAGAGAGACACCATGCATGTCTACCTGGACCCCTTATAATGGTGAGATTAGTAGAGTCATCCCAAATGGGGCCCTTTTCAGGGTATTTAACATAACGTAAAAAACCTTTAAAACGTCGGTATGATTTTGTAGTTTATAAGAAACGTATTTACCCTATTGGCTCTGTTTCTAAATGTGGTTCATTTCCTGTAGACCATAAACCATTTTAATGTGTTATTGCTGCTCCCAACATTAACAAATATGTAGTGCGAGTTGTCAAAGTTCAAGAAGGTCAAAGGTTACGATATTTATATGTACATAGTCATTCCACTCCAATCGGAAGTAATTCTACGTGAATTTTCCAGTTAAATGGATTCCTCTGACCATATTGCCTTTGGGAGCAGACACGTAGAAAGTCAATAAAACTGATTCAAAAAGCGAATTTAATTGGCGCAAAGCGCAAGCTTTGGAACCAACAATGACAAAAAATACGCACTGCAGCGTATCTCTACAATTGAACATCTCAATTACAATTATCTAGTTAATTCGCAATTTAGATATTTGAACTTTTTTTATAGATCCACTTTTCGAAACAATAAAATATAATCCAATTTGCATTTTTGTTTTTGATATTAAGAAAATACTGCTTCCACAACAATGGAAAACATGGTCAAAAATTGAAATACTTGATGGACGATTTATCGTAGCCCACTCAAAGGCGTCAAATTTTGAAAATCGAATCGAATAACCGTTGTATTGTTTCTAAACCTAACATTATGTCATTGATTTACAACTGCATTATACATTTACTAAAATTTATATACTCGGAAAATAGTCTGAAATTACGACCGAGTTATGTTAACAAATTAAAAGTTAATTTCCACTTCCGGGTTGGTACAATTGCATACAATTTATTTACTAAAACATTCCTGACCAAGCTTGCATTATGCGAGTTATTTTTACTCACGTCCGAACTGGTTTGGTTGAATGGGAAACGTTCGAAAATACAAAGAGGAAAAACTGATTGATTAATAACTAACTTGTGCCGGCAGTTTCATTTGCGTCCTATTTCAGCTTCGATTCAATTAAGACAAACAATTTCAATTACCATACGTAATCCTAAAATGTGGCATCGTGCTACAGATGGCGTTTACCGCGCCATTTGTAGTATTTTCTAAAACGCACTGTTAAGACAGCAGGTAAAAGTTGGTCTGTGTTCTCTCGGAGCTGCCTGCGACGCGCTTATGAGATCCAAAAAGATCGAAATCGCGATCCGCGTCTGGCAGTTTCGACAGAATACTGACCACTTCGAATTATTTTATTCGATTAAGCTAACGTGCTTATCCCGTTGAGGTTGGCTACGCCGGGATTCGTTTTCAGCAAGTGGATATCCACACAAGTGGACCTTGTTGGACCATACGTAATCCTAAAATGTAGCATCGTGCTACAGATGGCGTTTACCGCGCCATTTGTAGTATTTTCTAATTTCAGATAAAACTTGTCAATATTCTTTAATTCCTAAACGGTGTTTATTATCAACAAAATTATACTTTTAATTAATGTGGAAAACTATCGGCTTAAACCCATAAATTAAATTCCTAAGTTGCGTAATTTTAAACCTTTCCAGAAGACAACAGACGCTTTTATAAAATAAATAATTTTGTAAATACCTTGGAATGGACATGAGATACTGAAGCAATTTCTTGTAATCCTCTGGTTTGGCCCGTTCCCGTCGGGGACTTGCAGGAAAGGACAGAAGCGGTCCTCCCCGACGGTCCCGGCCTCCCGTTAGCACCACCAAGCGCTCCTGCAATAGTGGCATTAACTCTAGAGCCCGTTGACCGTCCATAACTCCTCTATCTGAAACAAAGAAACATTAACGAAGCTGTACAGGACCCATGTTACTTCTAAATTATATTAAAAATTGCAATTATCAAGCAGCGCATAGAAAAATCTACACACAAACGTCATCGAATTAACCATAGAAAACATCACGAAGGTGCACGGAGAAAACTAAATTTTTATGACAACGCAAAATTTATTATTCTCGATTGCAAATGACTGAATTTGCCGTAGAAATAGTATAATATTTATTAGGTAACTTGTAATGATCTCAATTTTGACATGTTTCTTTAAAATTCATTTCTGGTTTCTCAATTATTTCAATTAAATTTGTAATATCAACTAAAATACCAAATAAATTTATTTCTGCTGGAATTTTATTTTTACAAATTCGGGTCCAAATTGTAATTTTTATTATTCTAGCTTACGAAGCAACGGGCTAGTGGGATAAATTGTAAATATCGCTTTAATATTCAGGTAAATTTTCCTTTTTCATTTTCTCCGTGTGTAGACTAGACAACAAGATAAAGATTTTCTATACAGTAGGCTCATTTTCCTGGCACGCTCATGAAGCAGGGGCTCAGGGGCTGTTTTCCATGGTGTACAAACATATTATGTAACTATACATGTTGGTAAAGCCATTGAATCGTCCTCGTATATGTACAATAGGCCAGCGAACATAAAATTGATTTATGACCGCCTGCAAAAATATAGGATTTTCAGGTTAGATCAAAAGAGTGGCCCCATTGTTTAGAATATCTTTATACTGTGGTTACTGCAATTACACATGGCGTGTCTTGAAATAAAAATGGTATAAAAAAACACTCCAAGGGCTATAAAAACTAGCTGATAGTAGTTTTATTATCAATTTAAACAAATAGTGACAGATTACAACCCTTACGAGTATTATATTGGTTACAAAGTAACGATAAAATCCAGGATATTTTCAACATCTATCTATATAACGGTTCTAACAAAAAAGTAACAATCAAATCTACCCCAAGAAGCCCAATGTTCGAAAGGAACATTCTAGGACAATCGTGGAAGCGAAATTGCTTCACAAAGTAAAAAACTATACAAAAGTTTCCAAGAATGTGTTTCAAAACGGCTATAAAGGTTAAAAAGGTGACTTCATAAGCGGCCTGGTGCGTCGCGTGCTTCCCTTCCTGAAAATCGATTTCCCTAAGAACCCTAGAAACCCCACGATCCTCGCGATGTTTCAAAGCTTTTACTGGCGATCGTTAGGGCCGTAAATGTTGTTGCTGTAGTCCCAGCATAATTTTGTCCTTTATTAAATCTCGACAACGTACTCCAGTTGTTAAAGTAAAAAATAAAAGGGAAAATTGTAAATAAAAAATGGTAAAGCGGAAAAATCCCTTCTTGAAAACTTGATTTGATATTTTCTACAGAGTAGAAATTGACTAGATGTTTTATGAAGGCTATAAACTTTACGTTGGTTAATTAAAAAACCAATGTATACTCACAAAATAATATATTATACCTATAAAAGAATTAAAACAGTTTCAACCCTTTGGATATTTTTAGTAAAAAATAATAAGAAAAAAAGCAGTAAAAGTAAATTCCATCTAATAAGTGCGACTGGACCCAAGGGATCCTGTTTATTTAAGGACAATATTATAAATGCATTGTTAATAATTGTTTGTTTAGGTTTAACACATTATGGAAAATATTAACGATAATTTGAGATTCTGACACTTAATACAACAAATATTCCACAAATAATAACCACTTGGAAGGTACTTCACAGGGCTATGAGTGACGAAAAAATTAAAAACAAATTAGTACTTATTATGAAACACGAAACTGCGAAATAGTACTGTATGAAAATAAATAGAAGTAAAACAAAAATATTGGTATGCAAGGGATGAAGAAGTAGGGAAAGAGCGAATATAATGGTAGGAAACGAAAAATTAGAAAAAGTGGCCGATTTTAGGTATCTAGGAAGTCAGGACGAAAGGAGCAGTAGGGATATAAAGCAGAGGATAGCACAGGGTCGAATCGCCTTCAATAAGAAGAAGTCACTTCTATGATCGGGAACGGTTAATTTAAAAAATTCGAAAAAGATTGTTGAAGGTGTATGTTTGGCACACGGCACTGTACGGGTGCGAAACATGAACAGTGAGCGCGATGGAAGAGAAAAGGTTATAAGTGTTCGAAATGTGGTGTTAAAGGCGAATGACGAGGATACCGTGGATTGAGAAGGTTAGAAATGAAGAGGTATTAGAAAGAACAGGAGAATAGAGGACTCTATGGAAATCAATAAGAAATAGGCGAGATAGGTTGGTAGGACACCTTCTAAGGCATGAAGGTCTAGTCAGAGAAATATTAGAGGCAGAAACGGAAGTTAGGGGGGGTAGAGGTAGACCTAGATTAGATTACTGTTCGTAAATACTTAAGGATGTGGGTTGTTCTAATTTTAGGGAAATGCGAAATAGAAAAGAGTGGAGGTGCGTGTCCAACCCAGTCTTAGGACTGACGAGCTTATGATGATGATAACAACTTATTATGTAAAAAAAACACTTTCTTGAACTCAAGTATATGTTACTTCTCAATTGTAAACAATTTCAAATTGCTCTATTTTCCAAACAAAGATCGAAAGCTTTATGTATTTAGAAAAATTGTAGGAATAATATTTGTTGAATTGAATTGAAATTTGTTTCTCGTGGAATAATTCCCTGTATTTAACCTTCCTACGTTTAATTAAATTTCATTCAAATCCACGTGACTTAATTACCGGAGAATGTTCGACGTCTCGATAAAACATTTGTCGCGCTGTGCCAGCTGTGTGGACGCCTCTGCTGTTGATGTTGGTGCTGTTGCTGGTGTTTGACAGGTTTGGGGTTGTCATCCCTTGCTCGGCCAGCACACGCCATGACGTTGACGACCCTACGTCGTTAGCATTCCTACTTGTCGAACGCGACGTTGACTTCTTTGCTAAACGATCGCCACTCGAAACAAAACGCCCGTCTCGCGCCAGTGTCATTAAAGTGGCACTTCGTAATTAAAGTCACGACTAAAGGAGGACATTATTAAATTATTATTGATCGACTAATTTTTGTTAACATTCGGAGGCTCTTCCATTATTACGTCAATCAGAAAATCAGTACGAAGTTAAAGGAAAAAAATGATCGAAATGACAGTGAAATATTGAAAATTCCAACGTGAAAAACACGATCTAAAAACCCAAAAGAAAGTCATCGGTGACTAAATTTGGGTTTATGGATGTGATCCTGAAACAAATTCACCTCGACTAAAGGAAGCCCGCCAACCAAGTCAAGACCAACATCAAATCCTTACTGATCTGCTTTTTGAATATTAACGGGATTATTCACTGTACCTACGATTAAGGCAGATTTCTACCGTGATGTCCTGAGACGACTGAGGGAAGATATGAGAAGGAAACATCCACATTCCTCACGCATTAGTTTTTGGTTAAAAACAACGTGACCATCGTTCCTCAGTCACCTTACTGACCCGATTTGACCCCTTGAGACATTTTCCTCTTTCCAATATAGAAAATCAAATTGAAGGGATGTAGATTTGACACGATAGAGGAAATTCGAGCTGATTCGCAGACAGTGCTCAACTCATTAACAAAACAAGACTTTCTGAATACATTCCTTTCACAACAGAAGCACTGGTATTAGTGTCTGCAACCCTAGACAAAAATTTTCAGTCTCTCTTCAATCTCTCAGAGTCTCAGCATCTCTGAGCGCGTCTCTCACAATCTTTCATAGTCTCTCAGTTACTGCTTAGGTGTTCTCATGGATCTCTCACAGTCTCTGTATGAGAAACTCGAACGATAAAATTGTTAATTCAGAGATTCAAGTTTCTCACAGAGAGATTGAATGAATAAAACTGAAAAATTGAGAGACTCGAGTCTCGTAGAAAGACTGCGATCTCTGAAATATATTGAACTTAGAACAACACTCTCGTTCAGTGATTCGAGTCTCTCGTTCAGAGACTGGATACGAAATAAGGATCTCTCTATGAGCGACTCGAATTTCTCGTTCAGAGACGCTAAATAGTTTTTTTGACAGTCTCTCTCAGCGACAACAGAGAGACTCGATGAGAGACGGAGACTCCAATCTCGCTTTCAGAGACTCTGAGAGACTGAACATTTTTATCTCGGGAATCCTGGGGGGACTACATCTATAGTGAGGCGGAAAATAAGGTACGGCTGTTGTACAATTTTGTGTATCGCTAGATTTTTAGGTACCACCTCGTACTAGTTTAATTCGTTTAATAGCTTTAGAATTTAATTCACATATTCGGCGATAGCTGCAACAAGATTAATTGGCTCACTAGCATACCGCCATTCGTTTGGCATATCAATTAGAAATTTATTTATAATTCATATGTATACGCTCATAGAAATTAAAATTAACAAGTTGGATTAAAATTAGTTTGTATTCAACGTAACCGTATATATGAAACAGGGGTTGATTAAGGGAGAGATAATTTAATTCTAAAACTTTTACAGGAAAAAAACTAATATAATCAACCAGCCAACATTATAAACCATGCTAACATAGATATATTGTTATTATAGGTAGATAATAACAAAATTATAATTATTTGTAAAGGTCTTTATCGTGCTAGAAATGTATCTTGATGATATTAGATGAAATTGGAAAAAAAAACAACGACTTCTGTAGATAAAATTTAATGCTACGATTAATGTTTGTGCATGGCTCAGTTTCGAAAATACATATTGCTAATTTCTTGACAAGAAATCTTCCTCTTCTTAAGGATGTTTGAGAGGTACAATCGGAGACAAGAGTACATACAATTCGAAATTCGTGATTAATTAGGTTTTGCAACATATTATGAGGTAAATAAATACTATCTATACTAAAAAAAAGTATACGGTTTGAGAGAAAATTTGGAATTTGACCAAAAACATTGAATAAAATAAGAAATAACGAATAATATGGAAAATTTTTAACAT